AGTAATCTTTAGAGGAAAGAGAAAGAGTGGTGGTATCACACACCCATACTTTATAATACAAAGCTATGGTATTTAAATAGCATGTTAGTAGAACAAAAAGAGACCACAGACACAGACCAATGGAATAGAATTGGGAGCCCCGAAATAAACCCTCATATCCATGGACAGTTTGTCTATGAGCCAAGAATATACAACGGAGAAAGTATAGTTTCTTTAGCAAATAGTGTTGGGAAAACTGAACAGCCACATGTAGAGAATGAAACTAGACCACATGTGTCACAAAAGTTAAGTCAAAATAGATTAAAGACATGAATATAAGATTAGAAACTATAAAATATCTGGAAGAAAAGAATAGATAAAACACTCCATGACATTGGCTTCAATAATACCTTTGTGGATTGTTTCTCAAAGGCAAGAGAAACAAAGGCAAATTGTAAACAAATAGATTTACATAAAACTAAAAAAGCTTTGGACAGCAAAAGAAACTGTCAATAAAAACACAAATATTTGCGCAGAACACACCCAACAAAAGGCTGATTCATGCAACTCACCAAAAAGAAAATAAGTAACTCAATCCAAAAATGGGCAACAAAGAAAACAATCTATTGTCAGTAGATTCATGAAAAATGAAAAATGTGCATTATCACATATCATTAGGGAAATGCAAATCAAAACCCACATATACTTTTGATGGGACTATACACTGGTCACTCCCTGAGGAAAGAGTATGGAGGTTTCTCCAATTATTAAAAATAAATCACCATATGATCCAGCAATTCCACATCTAGGTATCTACCCAAAGAATGCAAAAACACAAATTAGAAGGGGAATATGCACTCTTATATTCTTTAGTTCACACAACACTATTTACACTAACCAAGATATGGAAACAACTTAAGTGTCCAATGACAGAGCAACAGATTAAGAAGATGTTGTATATATGCACAGTGGAATACTATTCATTTAAAAAAGTATATGAAATCTTGCCATTTGCAACAACATGGATGGAATTGATGGGGATTATGTTAAACAAATCAGAAAGTGAAAGACATATATGTGATGATTTTACTAAAATTTGGAATATAGAGAAACAAAAAAAAGTAACACAATCTAACCAAAGCAATCCTTAGAAATCAGACTGTAGAATTTAGGCTATAAGAGAGGGACTGGGATTATAGAGAGCAAAGGTGGGATGCTGCCCAATGGAAGGTGTTGGAGTATTTGGGTGCTTTGGTGGTGGGCATTATCTGGTAACATGCACCTGAAGAAGTGTGAATCTATACCTCTAAATCATATGCAATGTTATAAATCAGTTAATAAATATAAAATATAAAAATTATTGAGTGGAGACTTCTAGAACAGTGGGAAATTTTGATTCTTCTGAATATTTGACAGGGTACACCTTTCTTTATGCTAGATTCCATTGGTTTTCTGTCAGTTTGTTTTTAAAAAACGTTAATTACCTTGTATTTTAAGAAATGACTTTTACACATCTGAAAATTGTCACATCTAGAACTGGCATTGTTTGCTCCCAAATATCTGATAAATTGCCTATGTCAAGTGATAGACTGTAACTATTCACATCAGTTGTGTCAGCGTGACCCCAGATATAACTTGGAAAACCTGCCTTACAGAGAAATCATAGCAAGTTTTAAAAATCTTACTGATAGTACTAAAGAGGTAGAAGAAGTGATACCACAGAGAGCTTAATTGAGATAGTAAACAAGGCAGGGGGGAAAGGCAATAATGTGAATGTTTGGAGCAATAAGAAACAATTCAAAAGGGGTTATTTATAATATCTAATGGAACGAACTTCTAACTAAACCTCAAAAAGCTTTAATTAATTTTCTCACAGGAATCTTTGTTTATCCTTATGATAAAAAACTGGATTAGAGAGACTTACTGGAGTTAGCCTATAATTCTATGAATTATTTAAAATTAAGTATCATAACTTATCTACATCTTAGATTCAAAAATGGCATTGTAGCTGTGCCAGAAAAAAAAGCAGATTCATTTTTCTACTACATCCCTAGAAATGGTATGTTCCAATATATTTTTTGACTCCATTATTACAATGATACCTTTCCATGGTATGGTAACTATGCCTTAAAATTTCTTAAGGTTTAAAGAATATATTTAATTTCATATCAGGATCAGTAAATTATTCACATGTACATAAAACCATTCAGGAAACAAGAACAAATTTAAGTTGTTTGCATAATGCAGCATAATCCATTATGTGTGGCATAATCCATTATGTGCAGTCATAATATTTTTATCCTTTAGGTGTAGCCACACTTGAAGGACCAATGTATGCTGTTGGTGGTCATGATGGATGGAGTTATCTGAATACTGTAGAAAGATGGGATCCTGAGGGACGCCAGTGGAATTATGTGGCCAGTATGTCAACTCCTAGAAGCACAGTCGGTGTTGTTGCATTAAACAACAAGTAAGTAAACCAAAACATGCAGGTTTTTGGTCACAGGTCATATGACACAGCATTCAGTGGTGTGATCCATCAATCAATAAGCATACCCAATGACTGGGACATCATAGTTATCAAAAATAAAAGGGCATTGTTGAAACCTCTTCATTATGATAGACAATACTTTTTTAAAATGAAAATTTAATTAAGTATTCTGTAGTTCCTTGCAAATAAAGTGTGATCCAGGGACTATCAACATCAGTATTATCTGAAGTCTGTTTAGAAATCCTGAATTTTAGCCCCACTCTGGACCTCCTGAATCAGAATCAGAATCAGCATCTTTAATGAGATCCTCAAATGACTTGCATGCATATTAAACTTGAAAAGCATTTTTATATGCAAACCAACTCCAATTTTGCCCTCAGTCTACCACTTTTTACATTGACTTATTCTTGATTTATCAAAATTTCAATCTATATTTATACTATAGAGGGAAAGTCTTTTTGTTCTTTATGCTCCCTCTCCTGAGTATTACCACCTCTAGTAATACATCTAGTCCCAACTTTCTGAATATTTCCCTCTTCCTGATCATTTGCCTGTGAGAGAAAACAAATATATTAAAACTCAGTAATGTTAGTGGTTGCTAAAAATTGAATTGTTGCTCTTCCAGGTAGGTATGTGCTTTCTGAACAAGAAACCTTTGGAGACAATGTCCAGCATATAGGAGGGTCTTGATTGATTAGAATTTCAGACACCAGGATGGATCAATGGAAGTATATAACCTTCTGTGTCCGTACTGACTATGGATGAAATCATTAACTCATTGTATAAATGAGCCCAATAGGCATTACAACACAGATATTTTTTAGCACCTTGCATAAGAAGAAATAGGAAATAGTCAAGAAGAAATACAGCCTTATAGTGACTTAGAGCTAAAGATACTCCTAAATAGGATCATCTCTGGTCTGACCTGAGTAATGTCAATCTCCTGACCATGATAGTGATTATTGTACAGTGCCATAAACTCCTTCCTATTGCATAGCAAACTAAAATCATTGAGCATGACTCATTTCATTGATTTGCTGTTGTTCATAGCTGAACAACATATAGATATATGATTTAGTAAATGTTTATCTTCATTATTGATGCAACATTTAATGTAAATAAGATTAAATATGCAACTCATTGAAAGAATTGGTATTTTAAAGATTGTGGGAGAAATGCTCAGTATATCTTCCTAAAAAAAAATGTAATTTCTAAGTTCTTAGTGACAAATGCTTTTTATGCTAAATAAAGTATTTCGGTCCAACCACTATGGAATGCTGTGTGGATATTCCTCAACCTGCTGAAGATGGAGCTTCCATATGACCCAGCAATTCCATTCCTACATATTTACCCAAAGGACAAAGAATCATTAATTCCAAAGGGCACCTGCACTCCTATGTTTATAGCAGCACTATTTACAATAGCTAAGTTATAAAAACAACCCAAATGCCCAAAAATAGATGACTGGATCAAGAAGATGTGGTACATATACACCATGGAATATTACTCAGCAATCGAAAAAGATAAACTCATGAAATTTGCAGCAATATGGATGGAGCTGGAAGGGATCATGCTCAGCAAAATAAGCCACAAAGAAAAAGAAAAATATCAGATGGTCTCACTCATAGCAGGAATTTAGAAAACCTAAATAAGGGACCAGGAGAAAGACTAATAAAGTAAAAATCAAAATCAATAAGCAACTATAAACCAGAAACACACTACAGGGGTGGGAGGAGGGAATAGGATCAAAAAAAGGGAGGGTGGGAATTGTTTGGGGACTATAACTAATATGAAAATGCATACATTGTGCAAAAATGAAAAAAATGATGTAAAAATATATAAAATTTAAAAAATAATAAAATAATATAAATAAAGTAGTTCATATAAACAGTTTGAACCTGGGTATAATTGTAAGATAACTGGAGTTGGTCTATGGAAACATTCTGGCTACATTTTTAAAATCTGAGTTTATTGAGGTATAATTACTGAAGCATAATTGAAAAATACTGCCAACCCTCAGCTCCATCCTTTCTCTGAACTTCATTTCACATGGGATCTTTTAATCTATAGTACTTGTCAAAGTAATTTTCATAAAAATGATGCAGTCAGGTGGATTTGGTGTAGGGTAAACCTTAACCAAGGTGCCCTTCAGTAATTTCATTCACAAACTCAGGTCATAAGCTTCAGAAGAATGAGGAAGCAGAATACATAGTTAGAAATTTGAAATGCTTTGTACAAGGTTCTCTAATTTTTATTCTGTGCACTAACCAGAATTTATTTGTTTATACACACACACACACACGCACATATACACACATATGCAATTCTGTCTTTTTTCTAGACTATATGCTATTGGTGGACGTGATGGAAGTTCCTGCCTCAAATCGATGGAATTCTTTGACCCACACACTAATAAGTGGAGTCTGTGTGCTCCAATGTCCAAAAGGCGTGGAGGTGTGGGAGTTGCAACATACAATGGATTCTTATATGTTGTTGGTGGTCATGATGCTCCTGCCTCTAATCATTGCTCCAGGCTTTCTGATTGTGTGGAACGGTAATATATTTCCATGTGTGTGTGTGTGAGAGAGAGAGTGTGGGTCTATAATCCTGTGTGTGTATATATAAATATATGAGGAAGATTTTTAGACTACCAGAAAGTAGTCTTGCAAATAAATGTTAATACTTTCAGAGGGTTAAACCTTTGTAAACTTTACATTTACTCCTAGGTACAAAATATTTTGACCAAATCTCCCTTACTCATTTCAAATCTATCATAGGAAATATATTGAAAATACGCTGTTTTAGTGTCTCATAATAACACAAGTAGGAATTTTTTTTTTTCAAATTAGCCCAATACTTAGTAGCTTAAGACAATAATAATTTATTATTTTTCATGGGTTCTTGGACTCAAAACTTCAGGGCACAGTTTCTCCTTTACCACATCTTAAGACTTAGTTGGATGGAGCAAAGGCTTGACCCGGAAGATCAAAAGGCTCATTTACTCACAAGACTGACTGTTGATGTTCTAATGCTAGGCTGGATATGAAGCCAAGTTCAAATTGAATCTTGGATTAGATAATTTGGAATATGATTATAGAAGTAAAAAACAGAAATATGGGGGATAATGGAAATATTATGAAATTAGTAGAAGGTGGTAAATGAACATCTCTTTTGTAAGATGAATGTTTTATATTTAGGTTTTAGAAATAGGCCACTATAGAAAGAGACCATTTCTTCGTATAATTATATGAGTTTTCCTATTTTTCACCCATTTTATATTTTTTTCATTATATGTTTTTTAAATAGCCTTCAAATTTTAGGAAAATGTTGCTGGAAAATATTTTGATTAATATTACTATTTCCCCCTTCATTTTGCTAAATAAAATTAGGATAAGGAGTTACCTTCAGATTAAAATGGAAAAATTCCTAGGATACTTGGAGATAAACAGGAACTCTCGTGGGAGTAAAAGATAGGACAAGACTATGGTAATTCAAGTACAAATAGTATTAAAACCATAGTACTTCATCCTATAAAATTAAAGGAAGTTATATTTGGATTTCTTGGATTTCTTCAACTGTCATGTAAACAGGATGGGGTCTCACAGTATAAGTTTGATGAACAGTACACTGAACTAGTAAGGGGGAATTTTTCACATAATTTTAAAATGCTAGCATTATTTTCTCATAGACAATCTGAATAATGAAAAAAATGCATGGTATTTTGGAAAGGAAATGCTTCGAGTGACCTCTGGTGGGTCAAGAGAATTTTCTATGTACATACTGTTAACATTACATTACACTTGATATTTATAAAGTCTTTAATTGTTTTTATTAGATAAGTACATAGTTTATTAATGCCTGTTATTTTTAATTTTAACAGTATTTGCTTCCCCTTTCAATTGTGTTTGTAAACTTGAAGGTATGATCCAAAAACTGATTCATGGTCAACTGTGGCACCTCTGAATGTTCCTCGTGATGCTGTTGCAGTGTGTACCCTCGGAGACAAGCTGTATGTGGTTGGAGGATATGACGGGCATAATTACTTGAACACTGTTGAGTCATATGATGCACAGAAAAATGAATGGAAAGAGGTACTCAAATTGCTATATTTCAGGTTTCTGTAAAAAGATTTCAAAATATATGAGCATTCCATTCTCTTTCTCTCTAGGGTTCAGTCAGATCATTTTAGTAAAATTTGTCAGATGTGCTTTACCTACCCTATATCAATATAGGTGGCCATTAGCAGGATCATCACTAATTATATGAAACAGGACAGAGTATTCTCTCGACTTCATTTACTCATTCTTTTCACAGAAAAGTAAATCAGTTTCAATAACTCAATAGCTTTACTCTCAGTTCAACTTTCTATATATGCATGTATTATGGCTTAAGAACCAAAGATAATGTCTTTGACTTTAAATGTCTGCCACTCCTTGTTGACTGGTGCCCAGAAGAAAAGTCTTTCAATTCCTCCTTATAGATTGTATAAACTGCAACACTGAATATGCTTAATCAGTCATTCAAGGAATTTAGAATATAGTAAAAGACTAGAATTAAATGACATCAAGAATGCAGGACATCTAATAGAAGAAATTTCAAGCTAAGTTCAGAAAGTGGCAATGAGAGGATATCGTGGGATGCTAAAGGGAAACTTAATGCTTATGAATTTTTTTCCAGGAATAGCTCTAGATTTATTCCAAAATACCTAATGGTTTTCAATGAAATAATAGGTTTAAAAAATCGAAGAGAAATTAAATGCAGCATTTCCATAAACAGCCAAATCTTGTATTTGGCACCTTATACTGACATCTGTATACAAGTATCTAAATAGTACAACTGGTTATTCTTATAAATATATATGCATTAATATAATGACAGCTGATAATTGGTTTCTTTTTTCTCCAACAATTTGATTCATCCCTCAGAAACATGCAAATTCTGCAATGTAGGAAGCTCCTTACTTTGTCAATGCTTAGGACCAGCTGGAAATTGAAGAAAGGAATTTAGCAAATGAGAAATTAGGGCAAATAGAATCATCAAAAAGTATGTCTAAGTTTGTGGAATTTATTTTTATGAAAATTGTAGAAAAGTAGCTATGAGCTGAAGATTCTATTCCTTACATTTCACTCTTTCATTGTGTGACCTTGGAATGAGTGAAAGAGAACAAATAATGGTATTATAACTACTATATTACAGATTATTTTTATTATCTCACCTAATCCTCACAAAAACTTTGAAGGGAATTATTAAATTTCTAAAGTGAAAAAATTAATTGGAAAAGTGAAACATGCAAAATCATCTGCTCCTCAAACTCAGTTCTATATAATTTTATTAATTAATGTTTTAAATGTTTTACTTGTGTATATCTTCTGCTTTTATTTTTTGTTGAAATAACATTAGTGTACAATACTGTATATGATTTAGAGGTATAGGATCACACCTTTCAAGTATTTGTTACCACACCACCCACACCACCAAGGTAACCACAATTATTTATAATAATACGAAGGACACCCCCCTCACTTTGTTCTTTGTGGATCTTGTATATCAGACCCTTGTCAGATGTATGGTGTGCAAATGTGTTCTCCCATTCTGTTGGGTATCTCTTTGTTTTGGTTACAGTTTCCTTTCCTGTACAGAAGCTTTTTAGTTAAATATAGTCCCAATTGTTTGTCCTCTGTGTAGTGGAGAAAGGCCCAGTGCAGGTTTTCTATCAATTTGGGAGACAGATAAAGGAGGCAGGAGCCTGGGGGCCTGGGAGCTTGGCAGGCCTCCTAGCCCTCAGCGAATATTTACTCTTTCTGGGCTCTCTGGCCTTCTCTCATGGTCTCTTCACTGGTCCCTACTGCACTCCACTGTCCTGCCCTCTGCTGCCATGCTCCTCTATGTTGCTGCCTTTTATATGCTCTGTCTCTGTCTCCCACTTACGCACGCCCACAACACACTCCAGGTGCTGTTATCAGGCATGCATGTAAGCCCACAGGTGTAGATGATAGCCGCTAATGGTGGGAGGGTGGAAAAAACCTGATCACCTCCATTTACCCTACACTGCTTTGTTTTCCAGCTACTGAAATGAATCCATGGACATATCTAAAGCCTACATATTATAGTGTTTTACTTATGTTTTCTTTTATGTATATTATGGTTTTATTCTTGGTTCTATTACTTTGAAGAATGTCATTGAAACTTTGGTAGGGATTGCATGAATACATATATTACTTTGGCTAAGGTAACCATTTTGACAAGGTTTATTGTTCCAATAAGCAGGGAAAATATTTCAATTTCTTTGTATATTATTCTATATCTTTAAACATTTATTGTTCTTTGTATAGGTCCTTCACCTCCTTTGTTTATTCCTAGGTATTTGATTAATGTTTTGTTTTTGTAAATGGGATTGCTTTCTTCTTCCTATTCTAGCTTGTTGTGTTTAAGGAAGTGTAGGGTGAATGGGAAAAAATGCATGGTATTTTGGAAAGGAAATGCTTTGAATGACCTCTGGTGGGTCAAGAGAATTTTCTATGTACATTCTACATTTCTTCTATAAGTGATACTGTTAGAGGGGAAGGATGTCCTGAGCTAACAATAACATCCTATATTTTTCTTTTTCTTTTTGGTTTATTTCACTGAGCATAATCCCTTCTGGTTCCATCTATGTTACTGCAAATGGCATGAGTCTATCTTTCTTGATTGCTGAATAGTATTCCATTTTGTATATATACCACATCTTTTTGATCCAGTCATCTATTTTTGGGCATTTGGGTTATTCCAAATTTTACCTATTATAGTGCTGCAGTAAACATAGGGGTGCAGGTATCCTTTTGAATTAAGGTTTTTGTGTCCTTTGGGTAGATTCCTAAGAGTGGAATTGCTGGGTCATATGGTAGCTCCATTTTTAGTAGACTGAGGAACCTCCACACAGCTTTCCACAATGGTTGGACCAGTTTGCACTCCCACCAGTAGTCCAGGAGAGTTCTTTTTCTCCACATCCTTGCCAATATTTGTTGTTGCTAGTTTTTTTAATATATGCCATTCTCAGTGGTGTAAGGTGGTATTTCATTGTGGTTTTGATTTGCATTTCCCTGATTATGAGGGATATTGAACATTTTTATCATATGCCTATTGGCCATTTGCATTTCCTCTTTGGAGAAGTATCTTTTTTAGCACTTCCACCCATTTTTTGACTGGATTGTTTACTTTGTTTTTGTTGAGTCCTGTGAGTTCTTTGTATATCTTTGTGATCAGCCCCATATCAGTTGTTCGGAGTGCAAAAATTTGCTCCCAATCAGGAGGGTGTCTCTTTCTTTTGGTTAATGTCTCTTTTGTTGTACAGAAACTTTTTAGTTTAACATAATCCTAGCTGTTTATCTTTTCCTTCACTTTCTTTGCTTTGGGGAATATTAAAGATGTTACTGAGATGTATATCATGTAGTGTTTTACCTATCTTTTCTTCTATATATTTTATGGTTTCAGGTCTTAAGTTCAATTTTTTTATCCATTTTGATTTGATTTTTGTGCATGGTGTGAGATAGTGGTCTAGTTTCATTATTTTGTATGTGGTGGTCCTAGTTCATTTTTTAAGATTTGGTAGAACTAACTTGTAAAGTCATCACTACTGGGCTTTTTTTTTTTTTTTTAGATTTATTTATTTATTTATACAAGCACTGGGTACAGTCAGAAGTGCAAGAGGGTGAGAGAATTCACCAGAGTCAGAGCGGAGAGCAGAGCAGGCAGACTGACAAAGTACACTGCTGAGGGGAGCAGTGTGCGGCAGGAGAGGTCTGCTGCCATGAGGGACCCTCACCTGGTGTTCAGGGATCAAACCGGCACTGCAGAGGTTGCAGGCAGCTTCTGAACCCAGCGCGCAACCGCTGGGGAGGCCCTGGGTTGTTTTTTTTTTTTTTTTTTTTTTTTTGGCAGACTTTTGAGTGCTGTCTTAATTCCCTACTTTAAATTTATCTGTTCAGGTTTTCTATTTCTTCCTGATTCATTCTTAGATGATTGTATATTTCTAAGAATTGTCTAGTTTATTCAACTTATTAACATACAAAGTTTAGAGTAATCTTCTATGATCCTTTTAGTTTCTCAGATTATTCTTGTAATTTCTCTTTCCTTTCTGATTCTATTTCAGTGTTTTTCCTTTTCTTTGTGAGAATGGCTAGTGCTTTTGCTATTCTGTTTCTTTTTTCCAAAGAACCAGCTTTTGGCTTCATTTGCCGCGGACCAGCACAGCAGTAGATTAATGTCTTTTTTAATTTCTATTACCTTTATTTAATCTCTAATATTTATTATTTCCTTCCTTCTACTGGCTTTGATTTTGATTGTTCATCTTTTTCTAGTTTAAAATGAGAAAGATTACTTTAAAGACTATTTTCTTTCTACAACGCTGGACTCATTTTGGCTGTAGTATCCCTTAGTTTTACACAAAGTAAAGTTTATACCAGAATAGCTAATGATACTTACAAATCTAATGTTCCATATTATGCTAAGGACAGTTGATTCAAGTAGCATTTTCCCCTTGTTTTTTTTTTTTTCTTTTGTCTTAGGAAGTTCCTGTTAACATTGGACGAGCTGGTGCATGTGTTGTGATGGTAAAATTACCTTAAACTATGTTTATCTAATGGAAGAAAACTGGATAATTTCATGAAATAGAGTAAGAAGATGAGAGGAAGGAAAAAAAATCTTCAATTAGTAATCAGCTGAAAATGTTTGTGTTGTTTTACTATATTCTCATTTATTAAGCCAAAAAAAATGTCAGACATGAACTACATGTAGGTGTTAAACGTATGTATTGCTGCAGCTTATGATATAAATGGGAATCCAGTAGTCTAGGTTTAGCCTTGTTATCATAAAATGTTTAAATATTTGAGGGAAATTGATAATGACTAATGTGTGAAAAGTTATAAAGGCACTGGTAATTTTTAAGATTAGAATTTGAGGTTAAAACAGTTTTCATTTCAAAAAAAGAAATCTCTTAAATATAGCTGGTATGAAAGAACAATTAAAATTTGAAATATAAAGTCTGATTTTCTCTAAGACATCATCATTCTCTTATTCGAACAGTATCTCAAACAGCTAAATATGTCTCACATTTATCAGGAGGACAGCTTTTATTGTATTGAGCCTAAAAACAAATTGCTATTTGACATAATGTTATGCTGATCACAGTATGTTACATTTTTCACAGATTTATTGTTTCACAGCACCTTCTTCCATAGTACAAATACATTTTTGGTATTCCTTAACAGGTTGTCTTATATTTGTTACCAGTAAAATATTATTGTAATTTCATATACATAATCTATACAATAAAATAGTATTTATCATATTGATACAAACTGTGACCTCAGCCTTAGAGTGTCAGGGCCTCACTTGTATAGAAATTGATATTCCCCTCAAGCATTTCTGTGAATTCTGTAACAACCTAACATGAAATGAAAGTTTTAAAAAACAGTTTTTAAAGCGCAGTGAAATTGCAAAAATGTTCTACAATATTAACACACAGAAACACTAAAATTTTCCATAACCATTGTTAATTATATAGTTATATTTTATGTATCAATAGTTGTTTTTATTTTAATATTATTCTCATCCAGTAGAAAATAGTAAGAAGATACTTACTACAAAAAAGTTTAAATTAAAAATGAAAAAAATCTAGTTGAGTATCATTTTACCTTTACATTCATCTGTTTATTCCATTATCAAAAAATTTTAGATAAAATGTTGAAAAAACAACTGAAAGTAACTTTTCAAGTGAATATACAATTTTAGAATTTCTGTAGTATGTTCTTTTAAATAGGACTTTTATCGTATTTGTGAAATCAGCAAATATAATCCAGAGAGAGAGGCTTATAAAATGTACTACTACCTTTTAAGTTTAAATAAAGACCAACATAAGTTGTACAAAGATGTGTGTACTTTGACAAATTGAACTAAATAAAATCTATTTTCTCTGGTTACAAAGAGAGTGGTTTTGAAATATGTCAAGTGCAACTTAAACTAAGTCTGGTATTTATTGTCTCAATAGGTAAAATATTTCAATACAAAAATAAAGTTTTGCACCTTTGTTATCCATACTATTGTCTTTTAGTCTAAGATTTTTTATTTATTTACACATACAAGAACTGGGGTACAGACCAGAGGTGTAGATAGTGAGAGGATTCACTAGAGACAGAATGGGGAGCAGATCTACTGAAATGCACTGCTGAGGTAAGCAGCAGGCAAGACAGGAGAGGTCTGCTGTGCCATGTGGGTTAGCTCCCTGGCCTGGGATTGAACTCATGCCACAGTGGCTGGAGATTGCTTGATAGCACTGAGACTTTAACCCCTGTACCACCAGAGAGGCCCCCATTGTCTTTTATTCTAAATACAGGTCTGTTGACATCTTAAGTCCTGGATGTAGAGACAGAGACAGATGTTGTGAAAACACACATACACACACGCAATCTCTCTTGGCTCTTTTAAATTAATACCTATCCAAATCAGTGTAAAGGTAGAGTTTATCCCATAACATAGTTTAGCCAGTCAAATTATTTTTCATTTTTTTATTTATGCATAAAATAACTGGGGTGTAGGCCAGAGTTGAGGGGAGTGTGAGAGGGTTCACCAGAGACAGAGTGGGGAACAGAACAGGCAGATATGCTGAAAAACACTGCTGAGGGGAGCAGCAGGCGAGACAGAAGAGGTCTGCTGCACTATCACCTGCCACAGTGTTGGTGATAGCTTTATAGTGCTGAGACTTTTATAGTGCTGCACCATCAGGGAGGCCCCCTGGCCCATCAAATGAGAGTGTCAGTTAGTGGGAATGGGAAAGATCAAAGACCCTGTCACAGCTCACTTATCAATACTTACAGATGGCACCAATAAAGAGATGGTGTCCAGTGTCATGACTGGTCAGCAAACATATTGGAAACCTTTTTCTTGATGGTCCAATTGGACTTATTTCATTTTGATAAGAGAGAGGATATAATTTGCCCAAGATCACCACTGCACAGCTACACTTGCAAATTGTGCTTGGACAGCTATAGCCTAACTGGCTGCTAAAATCTGAGCCTATCTTAGGAGTCAATATGGAAAACTGTAGAGGCCCAGGGCATGAAATCAAAACTGATTACCGCATTAAAACTTTGCTGTAAAAGGGAATTATAAGGGCAGTCCCCTTGTCACTATGGCAGAGTGGATCTGACCTATCAGGAGTGGTTTAAGCTAACAAGGATAAGGAAGTAATTTATATATTCTTTCAACAAGTATAAAGGTTCACACATTTGCATACTATACTCAAATTGAAAATAAAATGTTCTTGATTTTTTTGTAATCACTTAGGAACTTGCTCAGGATTCCCTACTCTAACTTTTTTTTTTTTTTAAGATTTATTTATTTTGGGGCCTCCCCTGGTGGTGCAGCGGTGTAGCGCTGGGCTGCGAAGCTTCCCACAGCCTCTGCAGCACCGCTTCGATCCCCACCCACCGGCGAGGGGCCCACATGGCGCGACAGACCTCTCCTGTCTTGCCCACTGCTCCCCTCAGCAGTGTATTTCGTCGATCTGCCTGTTCTGTTCCCCACTCTGGCTCTGGTGAATTCTCTCACCTTCCAGCGCTTCTGACTGTACCCAGTGCTTGTATAAATAAATAAATAAATCTTTTTTAAAAAGAGCTGGGATACAGGCCAGAGGTGTGGGGGTGTTGAGAGGATTCACCAGAGACAGCGGGGAACAGAACAAGAAGACTGACTGAAATACACTGCTGAGGGGAGCAGCAGGCGAGACAGGAGAGGCTTGCTGCTCCATGTGGGTTACTACCTGGCCGGCCAGGAATCGAACTCATGCTGCAGAGGCTGCAGATTGCTTCATAGAGCGTTGCTTAACCCCTTGCATCACCAGGGAGGCCCCCACTCTGTAACTCTTAACCTGTATCGTGATACCTATCTAGACACCATCAGCTACATTCCCTGTATTTCTGCAGGCACACTGGATCTTCTAAAAATCTTCTCTACTGACTGCACAGAAGCTAAAGAAGAATCTGGGGCACTAATTTCAGATCTTCTCTTTCCCTAACCATGCCATCCATCACCGTGACTCAGATATTTTTACTGCCCAATTTTGAAATGGAGGGAACACTGAAAGGAAGTCTCCACCTATATTCCCAAGTGGGGTGTGGAACAAAAACTCCAATTTCAGATTTTCCTTTAAGCTCTTTAACAAGACTCTGGCCATGTAACCCAGAAAACAAAGAACATAAAACATATGCTTTCTCAAATATCATCATTCTCTGTCCTCTTTTTCCTACCATAGTTATCTAAGGTAGAAGGGACAATTTTCAGTTACTTTTTCTCTTTGCATGGACTTCCCTTATATCTCCCTTGCTGGAGACAGCAAGCCCCAACCTGAATGATGGGAATAAGTATCTAATCTGTGAAAGATATTATATGAACTTCCTATTTCACCTAATACTATATCTCAAAGTAAAACTTTTAAAAAGTTTTTTTAAAGCTTTTTCCTCACTTGACAAGATTGATGCCTGCTGCAGACAAGGAAAAGTCTTATTCTGGACTCTAAATGTTTAACATTTGTTGCCAGCAGGGCACCAGGTTTGGAGGTGGTGCAGGATGAGAGAAAGAACACTCTAAATCCAAGTGAGAGAGGTCTAGAGGGACTCACACCTAAAAATGTGCAGCCCCAATCTATGCTCAGTCTCATATTCATTTAGAACTTGTTTCAGAAAAAAATGGTAAGTATGTGAAGGAATGTACACGTGTGGGGGTGTGTTATTGGGGATAATTATTGTCTGGTGCAAGCTAGGGTGGAGTGTCCAGGGGCTATTGCTTGTGGGGCTCCATAATTCCTGCTAATCAAAGCACACTATCTCTAATCCCTAGTCTCACCACTAATCGTTACAAGTAAGGTATTCTAGTTGATCTTGCTAATCTGGCTATGTCTGCCTGCTGTTTTCAGCAGATACTGTTTCCCATTATGTTCCTCATACCAGGACTTTTGCCCTGGTGAGAGGCCTTCTGCCTGACTCTACATTTTAGCTTGACCAGCATGAACCGTGGGTACCAAGACAATAGCCCTGAAAATAAAGAGGGCTGGGGATTCCACAAATACTGACATCCTTTTTCTTGTATTCTTGTTTTGTACTTGGTGGCTGAAGCCAACGACTGTTAAAGATGGTGCCCCTGGAGGGGGTTGCTGATGAGCATAGATAGCCCCAGGGAAAATGCTAAAAAGTATCACATTTTGTGGTGGAGCCACTGATAAGAAATATAAGGGACACAGAAGCAACCACGGATTATTCCATGGTCGGGATTCAGCGTTTGAGGATTTAGAATTTGGGATTTAGCATTTTTGTGGTCAGTGATTTTGGCCCCCACTGCACCCATCTTTTCGATGGCTGTTGCAGGCCTCTGAATGGGGAGAAGCCTCCAGAAGCCAACCTCAGAGAGGAAAGTTCGAAAGCTTTGCAAGTAGTCAAGCAACCGAAACTGTTCCTGATTTTGCTGCTTTTATAGCCTGGCAGAGAAGGCAAAGACACAGAGCTGGGCACCTTGCTGAACTGTGTGAGTGTGGCCATTCAGTCACTGCAGCTGCTGTTTTGAGTGTCGCTTGTCTGGTGCTGTGCTAAGGCATCTCAGCAGCTCCAGGAACATCTCTTGCTGTGTCTTCTGTTGTCTTCATGAGTTGGAACCTGGTCTATAGTCTGGTTGCTGAGTGCTTCAGGTCCACAGTGGCAGGAAGATGCCATCTCGGACATATGGCCTATTGTTTAGGAGAGGAGCTGTGCATCCTCAGTGGTGGGAAGACACCATCTTAGATGCTTTTTGCTTAGAACTTGAAAGCATTGGACACAGCTTTGGGTGAGGTAAACAGCCATTTTTGGTGAGTGTGAGCCATTTTTGGTCAGTAACTTTTTGTTTTTCCCTGTTTTTTTTTAAATGAATCCCATTGTTGTTGTTCACCTGAGTAGTCAAGTGAAGAACTCAGACAGTGACTCATAAACTATTTGGGCAGTTTCTTTGGCCAGTTTTAGTGCCCCTTGTTGCCTTGTATCAGTTTTAATTATAATCCCCCTTCTTACAGAACAGACACACACAGTCTATACAGACAATGAAGAAAATGAACACATAAAGAATGGGAACATCATATATGAGTAAATGTTTAAAGATAAAATCATTAATATTCTTCAAAAATAGAATTCTCTTGTCACAAAATTCATAAGTATCTACTGTTTCTTTGGTGTTGGTGATAGGTAAATTAGAAATAAATTTAGAAATCTCTACCTGTCCGGAGCCATCCGGAGCATGCACCGTGTTGCGTGTGCGTGCCATGAGTTAAGTTTCGCTTTACCGTTTAGCTTTCGGAGAACCACAGGTTTTTCCCATAAATCACATGAGACTGGGAGGTATGGGGGGAGGAGCTACCAGGATATAAGAGGAGAACGCAGGAGAGAGAGGAGAGAAGAAAAGAGATTTAGGAGGAGAACCACGAGAGAGGAGAGTGCTGCGAGAGGAGCAGAGAGAAGGCCAGGGAAGTAAGAAAGACAGGGAAAAGAAAGACATGGAAAAATAAGAGAAGGAAAAGGAAAATTAAAGAAGCATGCGCTAGCGTCAAGTTGTCTCAAGCCCCTCATTTCATCCTCAGCCCTTCTCTTTTCGTGCCTACAAATCCTGCGGGTCGGGACAGGTGGCGCCCAACATGGGGCACGAAAAAGAACGAAGGAACCGCTGAAGGACCAGCTATGGTGAGCCAGCAAGTAAGAGTAGGTAGCTGGGATTCATGGGCAATTCAATGTCCAAGGGGCGGTTAGTTATTTCCCTGGAAGCTCTCCTAAAAAAGTTTGGGGTTCCTCTTAGTAAGAAAAATTCTTAAAAGATTTGTAGAGACCCTTAGTATCTCTAGTAAGTGGTTTCTGGAGCAGGATCAGGTCGATAGTGCCAATTGGAATAAGGCAATAGGAGATAGAGGAGGAGCTGACATTTAATTAACAAAGGTCATTCAAGGGTCGACAGAACCATATGCGGAGTTCCTAGCAAAATTGATGACTGCAGCTGGCCAAATTCTAGGTAACACTGATGCCTCCCTACCGATAGTTAAACAGCTTGCATTTTGAAAATGCTAATAAGTGGTGTTAGGAAGCTATTAGACCCTGGAAAGCTCGGGCTAGTTTGTATGATTATGTGAGACTTTGTTAGGATATTTGTGTATGTAATAATCGTTCATGTCTGGACTGGTGCCCTTTTGCCCTGGTGGGCCAGGGTGAGGTGAAATTATATAATAGCACTTACTCAGCAAACAGTACCTTTGAACAATCCATTAGTGTCCAGAATAATGGGTCGAAGAGTTTGTCTGCTGCTGTCTGTTTGTCCCCTCCCTTCTTTCTTGTCCTCTCCAATAATACAGGAAATGCCACTGTGTTGAACTGTTCAGCGGAGCCCGGCGCCCTCTCGCTTGCTGGGCCCGGAGTGCGGAGAGGGCGGTGATCGTTCATCTACCTTCTATTTTAATCATGCCCGTGGATGTTTCTGCACATCTTTCCCCTGTTCTACTCAGGGGGAGACGTGATTTTGGCATCACTGCAGCTATTGTCGCCGTTTCAATAGCGGTGGCTGCGGCTGCTGCCGCCGTCTCTGTCACTCAAGCTGCTGCAAATACGGACACTATAAACAATTCAGCTGCCAGTGTTGCTTCTGCATTATCAACACAGCAAGATATGAATGGACATTTACGAAATGGACTTTTTATGCTTAATCAGCAGATAGCTCTAATGTAAGAAGGGATAGAAACACTTTTGTTTACTGCTCACATACCTTGTAACCCTCTGTACCGTTTTATTTGTGTTACCCCTGTTATGGGTGAGGGTCTCATTGCCTGGTTTAGAGGACTCCTCCCAGAGTTGCAAGCTTGGGGCAGGGTGGTAACCTTAGCTCTTGGCTTTTTGTGCATTTGGCATATGGTTTCTCCGTCAGCTACGGAAGTGAAACAACGAACGTGCTATTGCGGTCAGGCAAGCACTTGGCACCATGGTACTCGAGCAGGACTTCCCAGTGGCACCTGGATGGGTCAACTTAGCCCTAGAGAACCTGTGAGACAAGGACTGGTAAGAGCGTAGCCCGTCCAGACCAACCAAAGACAGCGGTCCGGACCAAGTGCGCCGGACTAGCAATGACGGGTAAAACTGGTCACGGGATGTGCCAACCTAAGACAGGCCAGGTGTCTCATTTAAAAGAAAAAAGGGGGAGATGTCCGGAGCCGTCCGGAGCATGCGCAGTGTTGCGTATGCGTGCCATGAGTTAAGTTTCGCTTTACCGTTTAGCTTTTGGAGAACCACAGGTTTTTCCCATAAATCACAGTAGACTGGGAGGAACGGGGGGAGGAGCTACCAGGATATAAGAGGAGAATGCGGGAGAGAGAGGAGAGAAGAAAAGAGATTTAGGAGGAGAACCACGAGAGAGGAGAGTGCTGCGAGAGGAGCAGAGAGAAGGCCAGGGAAGTAAGAAAGACAGGGAAAAGAAAGACATGGAAAAGTAAGAGAAGGAAAAGGAAAAATAAAGAAGCATGCGCTAGCGTCAAGTTGTCTCAAACCCCTCATTTCATCCTCAGCCCTTCTCTTTTCGTGCCTACGAATCCCGCGGGTTGGGACATCTACCAAATCCAGGTATAAATAATTTAGGTTTTATTTGAAGGGATGAAGAATCAGAATTTGCCAAGTTTTCATTTCACCTAGCATGATGGAAAGCATCATTCAACAGCCCAATTACATATGCTAAATTCAATTTATAAATGGTTAAGTAATCCTGTACAGATCATAATTAATTGGATTTTATCAGAGTTGGGACACATAGAGGTTCTCACTATCAGAGTATTTAAAAATAAGCCAGAAAAGACACAATCAGGAGTTCTTTGAAGTGAGTGACATCAAGCAAAATGGTGAATAGAAATTTCTACTATTGATCCCTACTTTCAACTGTCCCCTACCAAACAGCAATCTAACAACTGACAACTCTCCATGTATGACAATACTTTTATAAGAGAACAGAATTTCAGGTGAGACATCATAACATTTGGCTGAAACAGAAATGATTAATTGAAGCGTAGGAAAGATAGATTCACATTACCTCATCGTCCTTCCAACAAATTCAGGCAGTCCAGTGTGAAGAGAAACACCTTCCTGTGGAAGAAGGAGAGCAAACTGTGTGATCAAATTCACCTCTGATACCATATTCTCCCACTTACAAGGCTGACTCTTACAGTGATAGGTGGCTCCTTACAGGCTCTTGTGAATCCAATCCTCTCATCTCTCCCCACCTCCAGCAGCTCCAAAGAACATCCTTGGCACCAAATTCCCAGTGGGTTAATGTCAACCCAGATTCCAGCTTATCCCAGCACCAACTGCTCCTGAAACATCAGTAAGTAGCACAGGCCCAGGTAGTGTCCTTTGTAATATTTCCTATGGGATCATATGCACTGAGGCCCCTGATGACCTCTGCACTTGCAGAATTCAGCAACCAAGGTGAAACCTGTAGTACCAGGTTCTCCAAATATTCTCTGGGATGCAGGTTCCCATCTCATCTCATAATGGCATCTGCTAACTCTGATGGTCACAAATGGTATTCTTGATGCAAATTTCCTGGTGGGCTTACATGAACTCAGTGTCCAGTTCCCGCCAGCATCCCAAGTGGTTTCTATGTTAGAACCCCCACCAAGCTATCAAAACCCAGGTCTCAGCTCACCCTGGCATTTGCCTATTTCAAATCCCAGGCACTTGCCATAGTTACAGGTAGTACTGCCAGTAGGATACTGGTAACCCAGGCTCCCATAGCACTCAAATGCCTGAACAATTCCAGGCCTACCTGACTCCCATGACATGAGGTTTCAGCAGGTTTTTTGGGAATCCTGACCTTGGTTTACTCTGGCATTGGCCAGCTCTCCTAGTCCCAAGCAATGTTTTTGCCACGAGACATCAAGTAGGCCCTTATGAACCTAAGCCCCATCTCACTCTGGCACCTACCAGCTCCAGTGACCCCAAGTAGCTCCCAGGGCACCAGATGGTGTCTATGACATTAGGCTCTCCACAGGCTCTAAAACTCTAGGCTCTAGTTCATTGCATCACCCGTTGGCTCCAGCAGCATCTCTGACACTAGGACACATTTGGGGTCACATGAACCCAAGCCCCTAGTCTCAACCTGTTCCCTAACAACTCCAGGGGCCTCAGACAGCTCCTTCAACTCAGGTAGCTTTCACTGGTAGCTTCCAGGAGGCTCTCACAAAGACGAATCCCAGTCTTCCCCTGATGCGTTCCATTTGATATACCTCCAGTGGTTCCAGGAGGCTTCTACCACTCCAAGTTCTCAGAGGGACTCTGAAAACTCAAGCTTTCAGCCCACCAGTAACTAGTTAGCTCTACCAATTCCAGCTATCCAGTGGCCACAGGTGATTCTGAGATTCAGGTTATGTTCTTTGACTCCAAGACCTTGATAGAGTGTGCCTATGAACTAAGTTCCCCAATATACTCCTATACTCATGGTCCCAGGCAAGTCCACTGACTGCAAGATCCCAGACCACCATGATGCCAGTCAACTCCCCTAACACCAGGTACTTTGTGGACTCGTAAAAAAAGGATCCAAGTTTACCCCAGCACCAGTAGACTCCTGTTGCCACAGGCAAGTTCCATGGCAACTGCGAACTACAACAGACTCTCAGCACATTCCATTGAGAGTTAGCTCCTGCTGTCCTGGGTGACTCCTATAGTCTCAGGCATCTTACAACCACCCCACCAACAAAACTGACTGTTTAAGAATTACCAACATTCTGGCTGCAATAACTTGCAATTTTATAGCAATTGTAGTGATTTTAATAATGCCTCAATGTTTTTGGCTTTATATAGTTAAATGTCTCCCCATATAACATTTAAGAAAGAGAGCATTTATTCTATACCCATCTTATGTTCCATACACTCTGAAAGGTATTCTCACTTATAATAGCTGATAATAAATACACTGTGGCAATATTTGGCTGGAGAACTGATGCTATTTTTCAATGAATTTAACCACCAAGGGGAAATATTATTGTGTATGCTAAGGCATTATGATGAAATTCTTTAGGGGTTGTTTAAATTTCTGTAGTTTCAGGAATAGTGTATTTCATGTGTAGTTGGCTCAGAAGAAATTTGCAATTAGTAGATACAAGATGAATACTTATAACTGTCTGTTAGTTGTCCATGATTTCTCACTACATAACGCTATGACTTAACTAGAGTTGCATTGCCCAAGAAGTGCAAATATTAAAAAGTGAATTGTGGTTCTGAGAGCCTATGATAAGAGTTACTTAAGTCTATAGTGATGTGAAAAAAATGTTTATAAAACTTTTATATTTCGCATATGGCATACTAGCCTTCAGTGACTTAATTGTTGTTAATAAAGGAGCATGCAAAGCAAATTTCCTATTTTACTATAGCAGCAAAATCAATCTCCCTTTGTTAAATTGAATCTATAGCTGAATTTTAATAAAGTAAAAGTGTTTAGTGAAACTGAATTCAAGAAAAATAAAACAGCTAGATTAATAATATATAATCTTATGAAAGTTTTTTCCCTAAACTGAATCAGTTATAAAACTTTTGGACTCAGACTTCTTCCTGTACTTTTAATCTTTAAGATAAAATGCATAAGAGAATCTCTGTAAAATATTGTTTAATAAGCACTGTAATGCTTAGTAAAAACTATACTTTCAAAGTTTCACACTAGATGGCAGCATGAGATAAACAATAGAAAACCATAGTTTCTGATCACATTTGTATGAAGTGAAAAAGTAGTATAAATGCACGTTCCTTCCAAGGTTATTTCAAAATTATTTTCTGTAACAAGTGAAATTGTTTGAGTCTTTTATTTCAGCCAATTGCTACCACTTTCCCCCAAATAGTTACTTTTAACACTGTGCCTTATTTGAAGGATTTCAACATTTTGTTTAGGTTTTGAGATCAATTTAGTTATGTGCTTTGAATTCTGCTGATGGCATAATAAAGAATGAATTCAAATCTTTTATCTGAGGACTGAGAACAAACTCCTGCCTGATTAGAAGTGTATTTAGTCTCAATTTATAGTGAATATTGTATCAATAACAACATTGCCTGTATATATGCTTTAAAGAAGTACACTAAAGATTAGTAAATTGCTTTGAATGCATGACTTGACTCACACTTGAGTGCACATGTACCTGAGCTGGGGATTAGTGGACGTTGTATGTAAACACATACAGCCAGTACAAAATAAAGTTGCTAATAATCTGGGAAGAGGAAAAAAAAAAATCTCACAAATAGCCAGATGTCCCTAAATCAAGAAGGATGGAGTTGAAAATATACAATTAATAAAATATGAATAAAATGATTGATTTCAAGAATATTGATGATATTAATATCAACTTGGTATTCTAAAATTGTCTATTGTGGGTAGAAAATCCATCCTACTTAACACTCCTGTTGATAATTATAAAGACAAGGACTATTCTACTAGACAAGACAGACAGTGTTATTGTTTGAATTGTGTCCCCCATCAAAATTCTTATGTTGAATTCTTAACTTCTAATAGCTCAGAATGTGACCTTACTTGGAAACAAAGAAATTGCAGATGTAATCAGCGAAGATGAGATCATACCGGCGTAAAGGGAGTCCCAAACGTGTATGACAGGTGTGCTTACACAAAGTGAAAACTTGGAGACAGACATGTACAAAGGGAAGATGAGGCCAACGGGAGGGCCTTGGAACAGATATTTACATTAGTTCCTCAAAAGGAACCAATTCTGCCTGCACATTGATTTCAGACTTCTAAAAATTTGTTGGTCTGTGCCATTGTAGTTGGGGCTTCTTCTGGGCATGAGTCTTGACACCAAACCATTTTGGACATTTGTTAGATGTGGTCATGGCAGCTGGGGACTCATGGGGTTTAGGTTGGGAATGAGTCACTCACCAAGGTGTTTGCAGGCTGCATGGAGATTGGAAGGGGTCACAATGTTTCTCATCTCCAGGAACTAGACAAAGAAAAACAAAAAGTCCAAAAGCTAGTAGAAAAAAGGAAATAATAGAAATTAAAGCAGAAATAAATGAAATAGAAATCAAAAAGTAGTCTGAAAATTAATGAAATCAAAGGTTGGTTCTTTGAAAAAAAATAAACTTGTAGCTAAATTCACAAGAAAAAGAAAATCCAAACAAACTAATCAGAAGTAAAGGAATTGTAGCAGAAATCTAAATTCTCCCAGAATACACATGTCCAGGACCAGATTACTTCTCAAGTGAATTCTACCAAACTTTCAAAGATGAGCTAATACATATCCTGTTCAAACTCTTTTGAAAAATTGAGAGAAAGGGATACTTCCAAACACATTCTATGAGGCCAACATTACTCTAATACCAAAAACAAAGACAACACACAAAAAAAGAAAACTACAGACCAAAATCCCTTATGAATATAGATGCAAGAATCCTCAATAAAATCTTAGCAAACTTCTGCTGATCTAGTGCTATTAGTTCTAAAGGGAGGATTGCATTCATCAAGAGACACAGCAATGATTCCATTAAGCTGGAAATTAATACTGCCTGCTAATGTCTCTGAATTAACAAACAAATAAGGGAGTTAATTTATTGACGGGGTATTGATACTGACTACAAGGGGAAATTCTACTAATACTCCACAAAGGAGGTGAGGAAGAGCATGAACGGAAGAAGAAAAGAAGGCAGGAAGGAAGGCAGGAAGGAAGGCAGGCAGGAAGGCAAGAAGGAAGGCAGGAAGGTAGGAAGGCAGGAAGGAAGGAAGGAAGGAAGGAAGGAAGGAAGGAAGGAAGGAAGGAAGGAAGGAAGGAAGGAAGGAAGGAAGGAAGGAAGGAAGGAAGGAAGTAAAGGAAGGAAGGAGGGAGGAGGGAGGAGGGAGGGAGGGAGAAGGAGGGAGGAGGGAGGGAGGGAAGGAAGGAAGGAAGGAAGGAAGGAAGGAAGGAAGGAAGGAGGAAGGAAGGAAGGAAGGAAGGAAGAAGGAAGGAAGGAAGGAAGGAAGGAAGGAAGGAAGGAAGGAGGGAGGGAGGGAAGGAAGGAAACTTTTTAGGACTTGTCTTATTATTGTCACACCCTGTGATTAAGTGTCAATGAAAATTACAGCAACCCAGTCCACAGAGACTACAAATGGCATATGGCCATCAGCAATGAAAATTTGGGTCACTTTGCCAAGGTGAAAAAAAAAACAAAAAGCTGAGGTACTTGGGCCTCCCCTGGTGGCGCAGCGGTTGAGCGCTGGGTTGCGAGGCTGCCCGCAGCCTCTGCAGCGCCAGTTCGATCCCTGACCACCCGTGAGGGTCCCACAAAAAAAAAAAAAAAAAAAAAAAAAAAAAGCTGAGGTACTTGCTGAATGCAAATGGAATTCAGAATGACTAGTAGAAGAAGGCTGTTATAAATACCAGTGACAAATGTGTGAGCAGTTACCAAAATGAGTACTCTACTTGTCATGAGAATATCCTCCTTATTTTTGAGTATATTTAAGTGTATATAAACACACATTAATTAAATATTCATATTTTATTTCTTCACTTATCCCCTTACCATGTAACATAAGATATGTTGACTTTATAAGAATATTTAGTTACTGTTAATTTTGCATCAAAGTGTGTAAGTATGGGATATCAAGAGAAGAATTAGAGAAGAATTATGTGTTCTTTATCTCCTCCTTGGAGGGAGAGATTAATTCATTTCTGGTTGTATTCAGTATTATTATGTCATATTAGGCAGAATTATGACTTTGTTATTGTCTTTATTTGGATGTTAAGTATGGTTTAAGTAGCTTCATATAATTGTCAGGGTGAAATGTGGTGAATTTCTAATGGCTAATTTTATTGGTCATATTAACTGGGTTAAGGCATACCAAGATGGCTAGTAAAACATTCTTTCCATGAGTGTCTGAAATGTTGGGTTGTATTTTTTTTTTTTTCTGGAAGTCACTATTATTTGAATTGGTAGACTGAGTTAAAAAAAAAAAAATTGCTCTCGGGCCTCCCTGATGGCTCAGTGAGTTGAGCACAGCACTGTGAAGCTGTCCACAGCCTCTGCAGCGCTGGTTCGATTCCCAGCCCGCCAGCGAGATTCCTACATGGTGCTGCAGACCTCTCCTGTGGCGCCCGCTGCTCCCCTCAGCAGTGTATTTCGGTTCTTCTGCCTTTTCTGCTCCCTGCTCTGTCTCTGGTGAATTCTCTCACTCTCCTGCACCTCTGGCTTGTACCCCAGTGCTTGTATAAATAAATAAATTTAAACAAAAGTTACCAAAAAAAATTGCTCTCACCAATAGTGGTGGGGATAGTGGTGGGGATCATTCAATCCCTTGAGGAACTAGAATGTAAAACAAAGGCAAAAGAATGGAATTTTTTTTCTCCCTGAGTTTAAACATACATCTACCTTTCTTGCCCTAAACATTTGAGCTACTGATTGTGGGCCTTTAGACTAAGACTGAGACATACCGTTTACTCCTTGAGTTTTCATTCTTTGGGGATTGGACTGGAGCTACACCACAGGTTTCCTAGGCCTTCACAATGCAGATGGCAGATAGTGAGATTTCTCAATCGCCACAATCATATAAGTGAATCACTTATGTTGAGTGAAATAATCATTGTTGTGAAAATATCTCATTGGTTCAATAAAAAAGTAGCTCATTAAAGAAGTTATCAAAAATAAAGCTAAGGGGGCCTCCCCGGTGGCGCAGCGGTTGAGCGCTGGGTTGCGAAGCTGCCCTCAGCCTCTGCAGTGCCGGTTCGATCCCCGGCTGCTCCCCGGCCACCGGAGGAGGGTCCCACATGGCGCGCAGACCTCTCCTGCCGCCCGCTGCTCCCCTCAGCAGTGTACTTCGGTTCTTCTGCCTGCTCTGCTCCCTGTTCTGGCTCTGGTGAATTCTCTCACCCTCCCGCGCTTCTGACTGTACCCAGTGCATGTGTAAACAGAACAAACAAACAAATAAATAAATAAATAAACATGCCTCTATAAAAAAAAAAAAAAAAAAAAAAAAGAGTTTAATAAAAAAAAAAAAAAATAAAGCTAAGGGCGTAGACCTGTGAGAAGCAAACTTCAGATTTCTGAATGCTGGCTGGTCTTGCCATTCAGAAGTTTGGTTTCAGTTTATTTAATTTTGCCTACATGACCTACACATACAGAAGCAGAAAGACTATATAATTCTTCTCTAACAAAAACATCTGGTTAAATTCTAACATTCTTATTCTTTCAGTTAATGATAAAGGAGGTATAATGCTTGCCACTTCAAAAGAATCCTTTATTCAGCAGAGACAAATGATATCTCTGTGTTGGAATATGTAAGATCTGGAGCTATCCCAAAAAATGTTCCTACAGAAATGAGGGCCAAGCTGTACAGTTCAGCAATTATCTCTGGCTCGTCTAAGAACTCACAATATGATAGGGAGATAGACTTGATATGTGGAATCCTCTGTGCATTTTGGCTGCATGGCTGTTTCAAAGCTAATATTGTTGCTGAGTCAGTTTCTGAGTTTGCTCTGGAATGTACTAAGAGTGAAGAACATCCCTAGTAGTAGAATTATACTTTAGTCCATACATATAATTTTTCTGTCTATATCAACCTCTATAACTATCTTATCTCTCTATTATTTATCTATTCTATTCAGCAACAATGTATCTATCAATCATACATACACACACATCTATATCTATCAATCAAATTGTTTCTGTTTTCTTGTCAACTCAAAATACATCTGATTTACATTTGTTACTCCTTTTTTTCTAGACAAATGGTTCAATATTGATATCATTGTTTGTCTTCTATTCTTTACGTAAGCCTTATTCTAGTTATTTACACAGGACCTATATCAGCCTTCAGGTTTTACTCTTTCTCATCAGCCACCCTTTATATTCCCTTAAGGATATGTTTCACATTAGATGAGAGACACTAGAATATATCATCTCTGAGATTCCTTGGGTCACATGTAAGAGGAATTTTCATTTACCGGCACAACTGAAAGCAGATGGAAATTAGAAGTGTTCTTTACACATGATAAAAATTATAATACATTGGAATGTCAAAAATGTATTGAAATATATGATCCCCTATTATTTGATGATTGGAAGATGACAATATAAAGGGAATTCATGTAGTCAAAATAAATATTCACCCAAACTATCAAAAAGGAAGACCAGGAAATGACGTTAATACAATTAATAGTTTACATGCCTGACGATACCTCACCAAGATGGCGATAGAGGAGATTCCTTGCTTCACTTTCAAGTCTAAGAGGGCCATTATGCCAAGATAATCCCCTGTGAGGTGAAACTGAAGTAGCCTATGCACATCAGAGAATAACAGACTACACAAAGGAGATACAGAAGAGATTGATGCATCATTGAACTAGAGGCAAGTAGACAGACACCTGCAAGCTGAATGAAGTCCAGGCCTGTGGACATGGACAGCAACACTGCTAGCAAATTAGGGGTCTTGATGATGGAATAGTGTAAACAGTGCAGGGGCACACACTCTTGAAAGGAAAACCCATACTAAGGAGCTGTGGTAGCTTCATAGTTCAGGTTCGCAGAAAGGAATGGAACAGAGAAAAAACCCTAAATGATGACACCTTTTTTCCAAGGTTGATGCTGACATAAAGAATTATGCAACTATAGACCAGAGACACACTACAGTTGGGGGCAGGGGGAGGAGAAGAGGGATTAGAGTCAGAAAAAGGGGGTGGAAATTATATGGGAATATAACCAAAATGAAAATGCATACATTATGCAAAAATGAAAAATGATGTAAGAATTATATAAAATAAAATAATTTATTAGAAAGAAATAAAATCAGTTCAAAATTGAAAATAAAAAAAAGAAGTATGCTGCCATTGCACACACTGACAAGTCTTGTATTTGCAAGAGTGTGTTTTGTGGTGCCACAAGTACAAAGCAGTCTCCCCAGCACATTTCCACCAGCAGGAGAACCCCTCCAAACCCCAATCTGATCATGCTGACATAAGAACTGTAAACACAA